AGATAGGATTAGAACTAATATGAAGAGCAGCCTGATTGTCACTCACAAGTGACATTTGAGTGACATCTCTAAATTGTAACTCTCTAAGCAATTGCTTGAGCCAAACAAGTTCACAAGCAGCTGAGGTCATAGCTCTATATTCTGCTTCTGCACTAGATCTTGTCACAACACTTTGTTTCTTACTTTTCCATGAGACCAAGTTACCACCAATGGAGACACAATATCCAGATGTAGATCTTCTATCCGAAGGAGATCATGCCCAATCAGCATCTGTGTAGCAAACAACTCTTGTATGGTTATTAAAATCATATAACAATCCTTTTCCAGGAGATCCTTTAATATACTTTAAGATACGAATGACTGCATTCCAATGATCTTCACATGGGGAATTAAGAAATTGGCTTACCACACTGACTGTAAAGGAAATGTCAGGACGAGTAACTGTAAGATAATTCAATTTTCCAACCAATCTTCTATACTGCTCAAGATCAGGTATAAGCTCCCCCTAATTTGGTAAAAGTTTAGTATTGGGATCCATGGGCGTATCAACAGACTTTGAATTCATCAACCTAGTTTCCTCTAAAATATCCATGGCATACTTCCTCTGAGATATAACAATACCATAATTGGATTGTGTCACCTCAATACCCAAGAAATATCTAAGTTTGCCAAGATCTTTGGTCTGAAAATGGTGACAGAGATGTTGTTTCAACTGAGAGATGTCATGGTTGTCACTACCTGTAAGAACGATGTCATCAACATATACTATCAAGTAAACACATCCAGCACTTGAGTGTCGATAAAAGACAGAATGATCTACTTCACACCGAGTCATACCAAATTGTTGAACAACCTTGCTAAAATTTCCAAACCAGGTCCTAGGAGACTGTTTTAGCCCATATAGGGATTTGCGAAGACGACATACCATCCCAGAAGACTCCCCCTGAGCAACAAACCCAGGAGGTTTCTCCATATAGATTTCTTCTTGCAAATCACCATTGAGGAAAGCATTTTTAACATCTAGTTGATAAAGAGACCATTATTGAAGAGCGGCCATGGCGATAAATAAACGAACAGAAGTCATCTTTGCCACAGGGAAAAAGGTATCTCCATAATTCAACCCAAAAATTTGAGTATAACATTTGGCCACAAGACGAGCTTTGAGGCGATCAATAGTACCATGAGGTCCAACTTTGATAGCAAACACCCACCTGCAACCAACAACAGATTTCCCAGATGGTAACGAGACCAATTCCCAAGTTCCACTATTATGAAGAGCACTTAGTTCATCTAACATGGCCTGACGCCAACCAGGATGGGCTAAAGCTTCACAGACAGTTTTTGGAATGGTCACAGAAAAAAGAGAGGAAAGACATGTATAAAAAGGTAATGACAGTCAATGATAACTCAAACAAATATAATGAGGAGAGGGATTACGTGTAGAACGGATACCTTTTCGGAGGGCAATGGGAAGGTCGGACTCGGGTGTCACATCCAGAGGAGACAGAGTAGTTGGCACTTGAGTAGAGTCACATGGTGGTGGTTGTGATTGGTTTCAAGCAACTATAAACCCGAAGAGGCAGTGAAGAAGAAGCCGATCATGGAGTAGAATCTAATGGTGAAGAAGACACGATTAAAGGGTCACAAACAACGAGAACATTAAATGTACTAGGAGTGTTGACAAGATTGAATGGAGACAGAGGTGAAGATTGACTTTTAAAATAAAAAGAGAACTCATCAAATGTGACATCTGCAGACACAAAATAACGGTTAAGAGAAGGAGAAAAACATTTGTATCCTTTTTGTGATCTTGTAAACCCTAAGAAAACACATTTATGTGATTTAGGAGAAAGCTTGTCAAGACTAGAACTAAAATTATGAACAAAACATGTAGACCCGAAAACTTTTAGAGGTAAGGGATGAAGTGGTTCATGAGGGAATAAAATGGAATGAGGTATTTTATTATCTAGAACCGAAGATGGCATGCGATTAACTAGATAACATGCAGTAAGAAGAGCATCACCCCAAAAATGCTGAGGAACCTCTCCATGAATTAAAAGAGTGCGAGTTGTTTCAATAAGATGTCTATTTTTACGTTCAGCTACACCATTTTGTTGAGGTGTATAAGCACAAGAAGTTTGATGCAAAATACCATAAGAAGTCATGAATTGTTTAAAAGAATGAGAAAGATATTCACGACCATTATCACTGCGCAAAACTCTAATAGAAACACCAAACTGAGTTTGAATTTCATTGAAAAAATTTTGAAAGATATGAAATAATTCAGAATGATTTTTCATCAAAAATAACCAAGTGCATCTGGAATAATCATCAATGAAAGTAACAAAGTATTGAAAACCTAAAGTAGACTTAACGCGGCTAGGTCCCCAAATGTCAGAGTGAACCACGACAAAAGGGGACGAAGCACCACGTATGACACTACGAAGAAAGAAAGTACGACTATGTTTGCCTAATTGACACAACTCACATGCCAAACTAGACAATGTAGATAAGACAGGGACAAGTTGTTGTAACTTGGCAAGACTTGGATGACCTAACTGAGCATGGAGAAGAGAGGGAGACTCTATAACTGCACCAACATGTGTAAAGGGACGAAGATGATAAAGACCATGAGACTCACATCTTGTGCCAATCACCTATTTCGAACTCCGGTCCTATAAACACACAGAATTGTTGGTAAAAGAAACAACACAATCAAGAGAACGAGTTAGACGATTGATGGATAACAGGTTAAAAGGAGACCCAGGGACATAAAGAACATTATCAATGGTTAAAGAAGGGAAAAGTTTAACAGTTCCAACACCATGAGATGATACTCTAGAGCCATCAGCTAGTGTAACAAAAGGTAAAGGATCAGGAGAGGATAAAGAGGAGAACAAAGATTTGTTACCAGTGATATGATCAGTGGCTCCTGAATCAAAAACCCAAGGACCAGAAGAAGATTGGGTCAGACCAGCAAAAGATGTACATGTGTGTGCGAAAAACACAGTGGAACTAGAAGACTGTTGATCCTTATACCATTTGAGAAATTTGTCGAACATAGCAGGTGTGTCTGATGAAATAGAAGAAGGAGGATCCTTAGCAGATAAAGGTGGGAAAAGATCAGTCTAAGCAACTGCAGTAGATCGAGTAGGACGACCATGTAATGCATAACACTTGTCAACCTTGTGACATAGTTTGCCACAATGTTCACACTCATGTAATGCATAACATTGTTCAATCTTATGACCTAGCTTGCCACAATGTTCACACTTAGGACGCCTTTTTCCCTGTTTGTGAGGGCGAGTTCGATCATCACGGTGAGATACCAATGCAGAAGAATCATTAACAGAAGCAGGTGTGTCAGGGTTGGGTTTTGCTGGTATACGCAAAAGATTGGAGCAGGTCGATGTCAAGGTAGGGACAACCGGAGAACCCAAAATCTGATCACGAATATGTGAATATTGATCAGCAAGTCCGTGTAATGCCCCTAGCATGAAGAACTTTGATCGTTGTCCTATCTCGGTGACAGGGTCGGGGGAAGGAGGCAATAACTCATTGAACTCATGAAAAAGAGCATGAATTTTGCCCATATAATCAGTCATAGAATCTTGATGTTTAGAGGTAATAACATCTACAAATTTAGAACAGACATCATAGAGACGTTGAGTATCATTGGTGTATAATAACTTAGCATGTTCCCAGATTTTGGCACATGTTTCGTAGGAACAAAAAATTTGTTTTAACGAAGGATCAAGAGTACCCTTGAGAACCACGCATAATTGAGCATCAATGGTGTCCCAACAGTCTTCCTCACTAGGAGTGAGAGTAAGTGCTTTCGGGGCAAGATGATCAAGATACTTCTGACTCTTAAGCCATAATCTGACGTCTGATGACCATGTGGCATAATTAGAGTTAGTTAACTTGTCAATGGATAAGTGCACATTAACATAGTTAGTGTAGATGGAAGGAGACGTAGTACTGACAGAACTGGAAGTACTAAAAGGAGCGGAAGAACTCATAAAGGACGGAGGCGATAGTGACAGCGACGTGAACTAGTACACCAGGTAAGTTCTCAGGAAAGAGAGGTGGGTCACTAATGGACACGATTAAATACCAAGTCTTTCCTTGTCAGAACTTTCCTAAACATGCACTTTCACACTACCAAATAACCGACAGCGATAGCGGCGGTGGTGGCGGCTTCAATAGTGGTCAAAGGCGAAAAAAAAATTCAAAATAACCTTAAACTCTAGATACCATGTTGAATATAGAAGAAATAGAGTTTGGGATTAATCTCCCTTGTGTATAAATCACACATAGGGTAGTCTATTTATAGTAGAGAAATACAACTAAAAGAAAGAATCGAAAGTAATAGAATAAATGAAGATATTGTTTGATATTATGGTTAATATCTAACAATATCTTAACAATATTAAATAATATCTAAACAATATCTAACAATATATTAAATTATTATATATATATATATATATATAATAAAAAATATTTTTTAATCTAATTTAAAATTTAAAAATATATTTTTATTTTAAGTTTTTATTTAAATATTTTTAAATAAATTATTTTAATATAAATACGTTAATAAAAAAATCAATCATACCAAAATTAATATATTAACATTATAAAATTAAACTAAAAATCATAATTAATTTTTTGTTATTTCCTGTCAGGACCGGACATGTTTCTACAACCCTATCTTTAAGCCTTCAACGTCATTATTCAAATGAAAACTACTTCTCTTCATTATCAATATCTTGTGAAATTAAAAAAATATATATATTATTTTTTATTATGACTTTTAATTAACATGATCACTAAACATATATTATTTTTTATTATGACTTTTAATTAACATGATCACTAAACATCACTGCTAACAAACATAACCCTTAAAGGGCAAAAGAGTAAAATTATAAATCTGCTAAAAGAAGGAAAAATATATGACTTGTTCTGCTCATTCGAAAAATAAACGAACATGAGTCATGACAGAACCCCCCGACCCCAAATCAACCCACACGAGAAGTTTGAAGCTTGATAATCACCACTGAGGAAAAAACACACTTGACGGGTAAATCTTCATCTATATTTATTCTCATATGCTATACGATGATAAAACTTTAAGGATATTAATCCATAGTATATATATATATATTATTTTCTTCTCAACTTATATTTTTTAGGGATACACTATCAAAGGTCTCACCCTCGTTTAGACGCCTTTAAAGGAGCTCTGAAACCTCAACTTCGGCCCAGCCGAGGATTCCGACTCCTCCACCGGAAGGAACAACGTCTCGTCGGCAGATTCCTCTGACCGGAAAGACGCCGGCGAAGTTGAGGTTCCAGAATTTATCCTTCCCAAATTTTTTTTATTTTTTTGTTAGGTTTCCAGAAGAAACCCCTAAACCTCCCTCCGAGTTTTGCTATAAACTTTGAGGAACATTCATGTACTTATAATTTTCAGCAACAGTCCAATTCTCTTTCTTTTCATGATTTTCTTCTCCAAGCAACACTTCCATTGGCCTCGAAGGTCAATGCTTGTATTTCCAAATGGCATACCCAACTGATGACTTTCTCATTTGTGTCCGCTTTTTGAGCCTCCCATTATCGTACTCTTACTCAGGTAAGGCTCTCTGACAAAGGATTAATCAAAACAACACCTGATTCTTGGTTTGTCAAGATAGTTTATACGCTCTTTCTATGCTCTAACTATTTTGATGATAGGTTTTTGGGTTATTCTCGTAAGCACTTAACTCCTCATGTCTTAAGGCTTAAAAATCCCAAATTAGGTTTCAAGTTCTTTCAGTTCATTAAGGAAATGTTGAGTATGTCTCATTCATTTTGGACTTATAATATGCTTGAGGTCCCTTAGTCAAGCAAGTCTCCACAGCTCAGCAAAATTGTTAGTTATATGATTCTGTGAGGTCTGATGGGCAATTGCCTGATTCTAGGCTTTTGAAATTTTTGGTTTCTTCTTTAGCACTGACTGACAGGTTTGATGTTTCAAAGGAATTAATTGCTGATGCTCAGTGCAATGGGGTTCAAGTAAATGTGATTGTTTATAATAACTTTTTGAACATATCGATAAAACACAGTAAGTTAGATGATGCCATTTGTTTATTTAGGGAGCTTATGAGAACACTTTCTTTGTCTAGAAACCTTCACCTTCAACATTTTAATCCGGGGTTTGTGCACAGCTGGGAAAGTTGATGAAGCTTTTGAGCTTCTCAGTGATATGAGAAGTTTTGGCTGTTCCCCGGACATAGTTATATATAACACTCTACTGTTGATAGAGCACAGGGTTTGCTAAAAGAAGTTTGTTTGAAATGTGAGTTTGCCCCTACTGTTGTTAGCTATACAACAGTGATATCAGGATATTGCAGATTGAGTAAGATGAAAGAGGCCTTAATTGATGGCTATTGCCGAGTTGGATGGGTGAATGCACATGTTCCTGCAAATTTATATACCTTCTCTGTTCTTATCAGTGCTTTGTGCAAGAGCAATAGCCTGAAAGAAACACATAATCTTTTAAGACTATTGAAGCAGAGTGACATTGTTCCAGTCTTTTGTTTACAATCCTGTCATTGATGGATATTGCAAATCTGGGAACACGGACGAGGCTAATAATTGTAGCAGAAATGGAAGAGAAGTGCAAGCCTGAGACATTTACCATTCTTATTATTGGGCATTGTATGAAAGGAAGAACACCTGAAGCAATTGGTATCTTCTACAAGATGTTGGAAGCTGGTTCTACTTCAGACGATGTCATCTAGTCTTTTTATACTTATAAAATATGTATGAGATATGCAAACTTTAAAAAAAAAAATTGTCAGAATTATAGTATTGTATAAATTTTGTATAAAGAATCATAAACTTTATAGGAAATTGTGCATTAAAATGTTGGAAAGAATAAGTTTGAAAATAGTAGAAAAATGGATTTATTTATGAAGAGATCATTATTAATAAAATATTTAATGTATAGAAAATATTAAGTTAGTAGTAAGATTGATGTTATTAAAATTATGATCAAATGTAATAAATAAATTCAACTATTGTAATGGGCCCGAGTAAAATTTTGATCAAATTATGTGAGTTTTAGTTTATATATGTTGGTGTAGGGTTTCAATAAGCTCTTCATCTTTAGATTATCATAAAATAAAATAAAAAATTGTAAAGGGTCAACGTTTAGCAATTTTTAACAAACAATTATAACAATAAATTATAAGACTACATTTTTTTTATGGGATAAAAAACAACTTATGTTAAATAATGTAATATTACACATCCTTAATAACTTTTTTTTTACGAGAAAAAAAAGGCAAACTCTTAAATTCTTTTTATCAAGTATATCTAAAAAATTCCAGATACCTTAAAAAATTGATTATTGTCGTCATAATTTTAGCACTTCACCGGATAAATATATTTAAAAGTGCATTTGTATTTGTTTACTGGTTTCATTAATCATTAGTATATATACATTATTCAGTTAATTTAAGATCTTGATAATAAGAAAAATGTGTTTATATATAATTTTTCTATTATATCAATTATTGTCTACTATCACAAAGCACAGAATTTTTTTATTTTTTTATTTTTTTTTTAGGTTTCATATGCTGGTCTAAATGAAGAGAATAAATAAATTAAACCAAGCTAACCCGCTCATAAAACTTTATTTAAAGTATATTTATTTAATGAACTTCTTATACAACTTTAAAAGTTATTTAAATAATACAACCTAAGTAAAATTTTAATTCATTTGACTCAATGTTTTCTTCCACAATATTTCTTAAATTTATTTTTAATATATTGAAAATGTAATTTCTCATGATAAATCAATTGAAAATTATTGTAAATATAAGTGTTGTCTAACTTTCAAATTTGCACATCTTAGAAGATTTTTTCTTCTTCTTTTTATCAATGAACTTTTCTTTTCAAATCGGGCTCTGAGAATTTTTTTATCAGGTTCAGAATAATATTTTCTGACAAAATTATAGTAAATTTTGTATAAATAATCACAAAATTCATATGAAAATATGCAGTAAAATGTCATTAAAATAAGTTTTAAAATAGTAAAAAAAAAGGATTTATTCATGAAAAGGTAATTATTGATAAAATAGTTAATGAATGGAAAATATTATTAAGTTAGTGGTTGTTGGAGAAGGAGAAAGGTACTCCAAAACTCATGATTCATCCTCCACAAGTTTTGGTTGTAGTTGCAAAGCATATCTCTTCCACACACGTCTTGGTATAATTGCAACAACATTCCTCTTCCATGCAAATTTTGGTTCAGTTGCAACATGGTTGTTGGACTTTAGGCGCAGGGTTCCATAACATTGTGTGTGGACTATTATGTGGAGATGAATTTGTTATCTATACTACACTTATAAATAGACCACTCCACATTCCTCCAAAGACATACTTCACTCATCTTCTCTTTTCTCCTTTTTCATTCCTTTTATCCTGGATTTATTTACTTTTTTAAGAGTTTTTTTACTAGTTTCTGAGTTCCTTGGAAAATATGCGAAGTTTTTGTTCTTAGCCTATGCAGAATTGTCTATAGGTTTATTTGTTGGAAAATTAATAATAATAATAATAATAATAATCATGATTTTGATTCTAACAATCAAACATAAACATAATCTCATACTGATAAACATGCTGTAAACTGAATGCGAAAGCGTACCTGAATTAGTCATAACGATGATGTCTTTGTAGAGCACTATATTGATCTTATGGTCTTCCACCTGAAGAGCACTTGTATTTCCCTCTTGATTTTCTCTCTTGATGGGGATAGAAAGAAAGGAACGGGACTGATACTTACGTTCTGTGTGTGTACTCTCAGAAGGGGACCATGACCCTTTAGATAAACAGAATTAGGTTAATTACTTAAGTTTTAGTATTTCCAATTTGGCCCCTCATCAAATTAGAAATTACTCTATGGTCTCTACACAATTTTATTTTCATGACATATGCTTTTAGCCAAAACTTTAATTTAGTCAGATCACTTTATTATTTGGCTTAATAAATAATGACCCTAACACATTTAAATTATGTATCATATATATACATGACCCAAATTTTTCCAACAATCTCCCACTGGTCACAAATATATATGTCCTTACAACCTTACAAATGTGTTAGACTTTATGAGCTCAAAAGTGTCATTATATTCCTTTAGCATACTCCAAAAGTCCTGTCCATTAATCATATTAGGATATAGAACCAAACCAGCTTTTCATTGCATCATCGCAACTAAAACCAACAATGATTACTCATCCTAACATAACCAAATGACATGGATTCATCATGAAATGTGTAGCATGAAAAATTACGTGAAGGTGATCTGTACACGTCTATTTTCAACTGGTCCAAACTTTAAGTTATTGAGATCGATATAATATCCTTAATGTACAAAATGTAATGAATGAACGAAAAAACCGCATATCTATAGATAACCAAATATGTCCAAAAAAACAATGTATACATATATGAAATTAAACATAGAACATAAAATATATGAAAGTGACTAACTCCCACTAAACCACAAATTCCTCAAACTGTAAAACACCCATGTGAGCAAAATGCTCATGAAAGACCTTGGGTGGAAGTCCTTTAGTCAGAGGATCTGGTATCATGGAGTTTGTCCTTAAGTGTTCTATGAAAATCATGTCCACTTTGTACTCTTTCCTTAATAATACAAGCTCGATTTATTGTCACAATATAACTTAAGTGGTCTTTCAATGCCTTTCACAATTTGCAGCCCCGTGACAAAATTTATCAGCCATATTCCATGATTTGATACCTCATAGCAAGTTACAAATTCTTGACATCCTACAAAATCTCGAGTCGAAAACCCAGCGATCTCCAACTGGTCCGACCTCCTATATGTGAGCATATAATCTTTTGTTCTCTTTAAATATCTTATGACCCTTTTTGCTGCTTTTCAATGGTCTATTCCTGGATTGCTTAAATATCCGCCTAGAACCCCAACTATATATGCTATGTCCGGATGCGTACATACTTGGGCATAGATCAAACTCCCTACAACCGATGCATAGGGAATCTTTTGCATTTCCTCAATTTCCAAATTCCCTTTGGGCACTGATTGAGACTAAACTTGTCTCCCTTTAAACTTGTGATACATACAAGCATCAACAATATTCATCTTGAAGCCAAATGAGTTTCATACCTTCTGGTAATGGGACAAGTTCCCAATAACCTTATTGTCTTGCATGAACTTATACTTATTCTATTGCTTTAATCCACTTTTGAGATTTAGAATCTTATATAGCTTGACGGAAGTTAACTGGATCATCTTCCATTATATCATTATTTTCCTCATGTTCCTGAAGAAATACCATGTAATCATCCGAAATAACACTTCTTCTTTCTCTAGTGGATCTCTGCAAAGTTATTAGCTCATGATGCACAGGTTCTTGAGGATCTTGAGTTTGTTCTTCATGAACAACCAAATCATCTTGAGTAAGGGGTTCATCAACAATGCCTTGTGGAGGTTCCGAACTTACTTTATCAAAAGTAACTATTTGAATTGGTTCTGAAATTGTTACTGATTCTTCCTCCAAGATGAAGTTCTTAATCTTATTCTTCCCCCCAAACTTAATATCCTCAAAGAACGTAGTAGTTCCCGTCTCAAAAAAATGTCTTTAATATGGGATCATAAAATTTATATCCCTTGGATCTTTCAGCATAACCAATAATATAACCACTTACTGTTCGGGAGTCCAATTTCTTTTCATTTGACTTATAAGGTCTTGCCTCAGCTGGACAATCCCACACATGGAAATGCTTCATACTAAGTTGTCGCCCAATCCAAAGCTCATAAGGTGTTTTGGTAGCTGCTTTAGTTGGTACTCTGTTTAGAATATAAGCTGTCATATTTAGTGTGTAACATACTCTCTACCATATCTTTAAGAGTGTAACATAAGCCCAAACGTTACAATTTGATGTTACCTGAGCACTTGTGCCATAATGCACTTGAGTGAGTATTTTCAATTTTACGTTTAGTACCACATGATTCTGCATTAAGGGTTTCATTATAGGTGGCCACAATGTCAAGTAAATACTGATTATCATAAATTAAAAGTGAACCAGTTCCAACAATATCTGAATTAAAAGACAAACTGAACTTATTGTTTCCAAATGAACATAAATAACCTAATTTGTCCAAATAAGAAACTGAAACCAAATTCCGTCTAAATGACGGCATAACAAAAGTGTCTTTCAAATCCAAATAAAAAATCAGTACTTAATAATAATAATTTAAAATGACTTATAGCTTCCACCTCTACCGATTTGTCATCTCCAACATAAATCCATCTTTCAGAATCAATTGGCTTCCGGTAGTTTAGGCAACTCTTTCTTTTCACGCCAAGCATGATATTTAGCACATTTCTTCTTTACGTGTCCAATCTTATTGCAAAAGAAATATTTGTTTTCTTGAGTTTGTTTCTTTTGTTCTGGACCCTTAGCACCTTCTTTCTCGAGATCCTCTGATCTCTTTCTTTTGCCCTTAGCCTTGGAGGTGCTTGCAAAAAATGAGCACTTTCTGTCTTGTCTTGCTTTAGTCTTTCCTCTTCTTGTACGCAATGTGAAATGAGCTCATTAAGAGACAATTTATCCTTCTGACAGTTGTAAGATACCTTAAATTGATTAAACGTTGCAAGAAGAGAAATCAACACCAAATGAATGAGCAAGTCTTCTGAGAGTTCAAGCTTTAGTTCCTTGAGTTTAAAAACAATATTAGACATGCTCA